ACATGGCAACGAGAAAAACATGAATTAATTAGTGGAATGAAAAGCGTTCGTTGATCCCTGTGGGATTTAGACTGCCGGTTTGAAAGATGAGCTTTGTTTAAGAGTTGGTTGATTCAATATCTGATTTTATTTGAACAGTAAGTTATAACTGATCTCTGAATCTCTAACTTTCTATTACTTTGATTGAACCTTTACAATCCAGAGAATGTTTGTAGACTGAAGAAGCTAGAATACCTTAATTTGGCACTGAATAATGTTACAAGGGTTGAAAACCTTGAAGGTGAGTAAATTCAAATTACTGGTATATATGTATTGAAGTACTACATATCTGTTTTAGTTGTTTGTAGAATGTTAGATTCAGTAATATTTTGAGGGTATTTTAAATTGGAATAAATCTGTAACATTGTTATGTATTTACTTATTATTGGCTACATTTATATTCTATTTCTCAGGGTGTGAGTCTTTGCAAAAGTTGGATCTCACCGTCAATTTTGTAGGAGAGTTGACTAGTATTGAATCACTTAGAGGAAATTACCATTTCAGAGAACTGTAAGGATTTTAATGTTTGCTTTTTCAGATCATTTGTAAACTAATGTGGAGCTCTGGGAAAGAATGTAGCAAGTCTACAGTGTTAAAGAAATGGCAAGATCTTAAATGTTTAGAAAACGTTGTTCAGTTTGGTTTAAGTTATAGATAAATGAATGTTTAATTGTTTGCCTCAGGATATAAGAATCAGGCTAATTATTAATCAATGGTGTTTTTGTCATGATCTTTCAACTGCTATACTGCTTGTTTTTTTCTGGTGATGAGGTAAAAAATTACGTGTAGCTATTTGTAGCAGCTTTGTTTGTTTTACATGTATGTCATGGTGCACTGTGTCATTGTTGCTTGATAAGATACACAGACTTTGTAAAATAGTTTAATTTCATCTGAATTACCTTAGGTTGGTCAAAATCTGTTTTTCTCAGCATAATCAGAGAATGTAAACTTTGGGCACAATTTTGATTCTGCTGTGGACATGTAATTAAACACAAAGTAAATCTGAGAAAATGACTAAAATAGTTTACTCCCTGTATTGTCTAAGCCAAGGAATGGCCACTTTTTAAGGTTTTTTTTAGCAAAACAGTTAATAATCTTTTAAGGTTGTTTCCAGTTAATAGGTAGTTTTATTGTTTTTTAGATATTTGACAGGAAATCCTTGCACAGAGTATGAAGGTTACAGAGAGTATGTCATTGCAACTTTAGATAATTTAAAATGGCTTGATGGAAAAGAGATCGAAAAATCTGAAAGGATATTAGCCAAACAGGTTAGTACAGGACAACATTATAATAGCAGGTAGTTTTCACTTTCAAAAGTAAATTTCATTGAGATGTTGATTTAAATTTTTTAGCCAAGTGCTTTTTATAACTTACATTCTTATGTAGCCCCCTAAAAATTTAAAAATCGAATTTTAAATTGGTCCCTTTTAAACCTTAAAATTGGTCCCTTTTAAACCTTAAAATTGGTCCCTTTTAAACCTTAAGATTGATCCCTTTTAAACCTTAAAATTGGTCCCTGTTAAACCTTGAAATTGGTCCCTTTTAAACCTTAAAATTGGTCCCTTTTAAACCTTAAAATTGGTCCCTTTTAAACCTTAAGATTGATCCCTTTTAAACCTTAAAATTGGTCCCTGTTAAACCTTGAAATTGGTCCCTTTTAAACCTTAAAATTGGTCCCTTTTAAACCTTAAAATTGGTCCCTTTTAAACCTTAAGATTGATCCCTTTTAAACCTTAAAATTGGTCCCTGTTAAACCTTGAAATTGGTCCCTTTTAAACCTTAAAATTGGTCCCTTTTAAACCTTAAAATTGGTCCCTTTTAAACCTTAAGATTGATCCCTTTTAAACCTTAAAATTGGTCCCTGTTAAACCTTGAAATTGGTCCCTTTTAAACCTTAAAATTGGTCCCTTTTAAACCTTAAAATTGGTCCCTTTTAAACCTTAAGATTGATCCCTTTTAAACCTTAAAATTGGTCCCTGTTAAACCTTGAAATTGGTCCCTTTTAAACCTTAAAATTGGTCCCTTTTAAACCTTAAAATTGGTCCCTTTTAAACCTTAAAATTGGTCCCTTTTAAACCTTAAAATTGGTCCCTTTTAAACCTTAAAATTGGTCCCTTTTAAACCTTAAAATTGGTCCCTTTTAAACCTTAAAATTGGTCCCTTTTAAACCTTAAAATTGGTCCCTTTTAAACCTTAAAATTGGTCCCTTTTAAACCTTAAAATTGGTCCCTTTTAAACCTTAAAATTGGTCCCTTTTAAACCTTAAAATTGGTCCCTTTTAAACCTTAAAATTGGTCCCTTTTAAACCTTAAAATTGGTCCCTTTTAAACCTTAAAATTGGTCCCTTTTAAACCTTAAAATTGGTCCCTTTTAAACCTTAAAATTGGTCCCTTTTAAACCTTAAAATTGGTCCCTTTTAAACCTTAAAAT